ACATTTATTTTAGTGCCCTCTCTTAATAGAATCATAGAAAATTAGGGTTGGAAGGGACCTCAGGAGGTCACATCTAGTCCAACTCCCTTTTCAAAGCGGTACCATCCCCAACTAAATCATTCCACCCAAGGCTTTGGTTGAGCCAGGCCTTAAAAACCTCCAAGGATGGAGATTCCACAGCCTCTCTGGGGTAACCTGTTCCAATGTTTTACTACTCTCCTAGTGAGTCTTTCGTACTATCTAACCTAAATTCCCTTGCTGCAAATGGAGACCATTGCTCCTTGTTCTGTCATCTGCCGCCACTGAGAAGTCCAGCTTCATCCTCTTTGGAACCATCCTTCAGGTAAATGAAGGTTGCTATTAAATCCCCAGTCTCCTCTTCTCTAGACTAAGTAAGCCCACTTCCCTCAGCCTCTCTTCATAAGTCATCTGTCTCAGCCCACTAACCATTTTTGTTGCCCTCTACTGGACTCTCCAATTTGTCCATGTCCTTTCTGTAGTGGGGAGCCCCAAAACAGGACACAGTACTCCAGATGTGGCCTCACCAGTGCCGAATACAAGGGAAGAAATACCTCCCTCAATCTGCTGGCAATGCTCCCAAGGCAGCCCAGTATGCTGTTAGCCTTCTTCTCAGCAGGAGCACACTGTTGGCTCAGTCAGCTTATTGTCCACTATAACCCCAGGTCATTTTCTGCAGAGCTGCTGCTTAGCCAGTCGGTCCCCAGCCTGTCCTGGTGCATGGGATTGTTCCGTCTTAAGTGCAGGACTTTGCACTTGTCCTTATTGAACCTCATTAAGATTTCTTTTGATGCAATCCTCCAATTCGTCAAGGGCTCTCTGAATCCTAGCTCTACCCCCCTACACGCTCCCCCCAGCTTGGTGTCATCTGCTTGTTGTCAAATATTGGTGAACATTTACCTCAGAAATAAAAAATGAAACTTGAATTATAGAAAGAGCGTTTTACAAAAAAGAAAGGTACCTAAGGCACTTAAAAACTTCAGGCTTGTATAGTTTGTGTCCCTCTTTTTGGGTCTTTATTACAAAAGTTTCCTTATTTGGTGTATAACAGTTTAAAAGGTGTGACTCCTCATTCAAATTTCACCCACATAGCAAAGATTCTCTCATACACCTTGACTAAAAATATCACCCAGCTATCATTTCAATATGGCATCACTCCTGGATACTGGTAAACCTCCCAGACCTTCCCCTTGAACCCAGAAACCTTCTTGAATCAAATACATCTTTTGTGAACTCCCTTCCTATCTCATTTTAGACCTATTACCAATATCCAAGTTTGCCACAAAAAGTTTTCCTCTCCCACCTTCTACCATCTATCCTCTTCTATCTACATCTCAGGTCTGAGATGGTAGATAGAAGAGGATAAGGATACCCCCAAGGTATGCACAATGTTGGTACAAGTCTGCTTCTAGGTATTAAAATAATTTGGGGTTTTTTTAATCCAACACTAACAGCCTGTGATACAAATACAAACTAAAATATAAAAAGGCCTCAGTTATACAGTGAAATTGCAAAGGATTTTTTACAGAATAAAAACAGTGTAAACAGGCTATACAATTCACCAAATCAATGTGAAGCTACTATATCCTGAAATTATGAAATGATATAGTATAATAAATGCAGAACAACTCCACTGAAGGGTAACTGAAGGTCTTGCTTCTTAATATCGATTAAAATTACATTAGTAATAGCTCAATATTGCAGAATCTTGTTTCTTTATTCTCCACATAGTTCCGCGGACCAGGCATCAATTTTTTTTAGGATAGGACAAAGCATGCATCCAGCAAAACAGAATGTGTTTCATATCATGAAGAGGAGCCACAAACAAATAAGCCATAACAAGAGAGCCACCTTGAAAAATGTATCTAGTCATATAAAACTGTATTTTTACTTTATATTAGTAGATCAGTTAAAAATACATATTCTATAAGGGATAAATTACAATTAAAGTGATGAAATACAGGTCCCTCCTCAAGTATTTCGAAGGCAAAGTAAGCAAATAGAAGGCAGTCTCTTTTTTAACTACTTATGTAGTTCTGTACTTTTGTTTAGTAAGAGCATATATGGACTGCACCACGGCTAGGCTGCTCTAGAGCTAATTTTATGGAATGTTTGGATTATATTTTTATATAAATTAGCAAAAGCTTATTAGATTTTAAATAATTTCTGTACAACCTGTGATAACATGCTTCTAAAAGGCTTTATTATGCTAAAAATGCCCATAAAATCAGTTCTTTATAAAAAGCAGGCACACTACTACATTGCCTCAGTTTAAATAGATTATTCAGGAAACCCCAGCACCCTGGTAAATTGAAGCATCATTAAGTCACAGATGGACCTAGCTGATACGACATGAAAGAACACAAAATAGAACTAAAACACCCTGCACTTCAGGAATTCAACAGACAAGAGTAATGCAGAACAGGGTACTCTCAAAATGAACTCTCCAAATGTGAGATTACAGAAAAACATTATTAAAAGCCTCTTTATATAATATTGACTACACAAAGTATGAAAGCAAAAAGGAAATAAAAATAAAATAAGAAACAACCACTTTTATTTCAACCTTAAAATGGAACTACCAAATATAAATGATACTGTAAAATGATTTCTTATCATTTTATATTTGTTGCAGGGCAACAAAAGAAAAGGGGTAGAGACCCCTTTTCCCAGGACCAGAATTGCAGTGGGAGAATAGCCCTGAAAGTCCCATAATGGGAAAATACGCACCTGGCACAGGTGTGGCAATGGGGAGCCAGCAGCAGCAGGAAGAGTTGCCCATGATTCATCAGCCACTTACGTGTGCGGCTGGGGCCAGTGCAGAGCGGCCCAGAACAGTGAAATCATCCAGCAGCGCCAGCTGGCACACTTAAAAGCCGGCTGATGGGAAGAAGCTGGGGAGCAACATCTGAGAGGCAGCTGTGTGCTCCCCATGGTATGGCCGGCACTACCTCCAACCAGGGGTCCAGGGCGGAGGCCAGAAGAGGAGTTTGCCCCAGTGCCGGACCAAGGAAGGACACCCAGGGACTGACCACTGAGTCGCATGCAGGGACACACAAGTAGGGAAGAGAAACAAGAGCCTCCCTGATACTTTTCTATTTGATTTCTTTACACATTTTCATTGCCCCTGAGGCTGGAGAGTAGACACACATATTGCTCTTGGGGCTGAGGGACCAGGGGCCCTCAGGGACTCTACGCAAGAACTCAGAAGGCCTACCGGCCTGGCCAGCAGCCCCCAGTAAGAAGAGTGTCCGCCTGAGTGTAGTGCAGGCTCTATAGGCCGAGCCCAGCTATAAAAACCCTTGTCCGGCAAGCAGCTTGCAACTACAAACCACACTCATAACCACATCCAAGGCCAGATCAGGGCCACGCCACAAGGATCGACACCTTTGGGGTTCTAACCATCTGCCACATGGTCATGTCCATCAGGTTGACGCATGGAAGGAGTTTAGGGGCAGTGGCGCCCCAGGGACATCCACAGGCGACACCTCTGTGCAAGTCTCAGCTATAAGGGAACTTGGACAAGACAAAGACGTAGCAGGCGAGTATTGGGCACTTCCCTCGAGAGTTGACACACGATTAGTGCAGGTGCCCAAGAAAGTGAATAACTGAGTAAAGAACAACCAACCCCGAGCTGCTCGGGAACGGTTACTCAAGTTCAGATGGGCACAATATTGTTTGGTGAAGTTGGTTTTTGTATTCAGCTTGAGTAATGTTAATGTTAGCATACTAATATTTCATTGCATAGTTCCCTTGTATTGACAGAATACAGTTGGTGTTTAGATATCTACTAGGCGGAGGATCCAATTTAAGCCTCACAAAAACATATATGACTTAAGATTCTGTAAAATCCTATTTTTAACCAAAAAATGTGGTTTTATTAACTGTTAACTACACAGTTAAAAAAAAAAAAAAAGATTAAAAATCAGTAACAGCACATAGTTCTGGTAAACAACAAAGCAGACCTTACACAAAAGCAGATAAGAATAAATACCAGTGCTAATCTTTTCAATCCTGCCGAAGCATAAACATTTTTTAATGGAGTTTCTGAACACATGTACCTCACAGTCTGTGCTGAGGACTTTCTTGGGGTTACCCAGTATATTCAAAACCACTAGGAAGCCAGATGCCAAAAAATACGATGTCAATTTGCAGGAGAAAAAAAATTAACTGGTCAAGTGTATGCAAAGTGAACCTTATTTTTCTTCAATTTCATTTCATCAGACTACCAACAATATCATACAAATAATGTTTACCGGTTTCCACAGCTATCTTTTATAATGATAGGAAAGTTTATGATTCCTACAGTCTTTGACAGTACATATCACTACTGACAGAATTATACATTAAAACATTGTTGAAAGATACTGATTTTATTACTTTGAAGTACTTATTTATATGTCCTGCTGTTATGGCAAATGAAGTGTTCCATCCATCTCAATTATTTTCAAGGAAAAAAAGGAATCCAGCCGTTACCTTTAGCAAAATATAGAATATTAAAATGTTGTTTTTCTGGTTTATTTCAGAGGACCAAAATTCATGGGTGTTGTGTAAAACTGTGGTAGCCTAGATATTAGCAAGTAGTGAATACTCCCAATATAGAATCTATTAAGATATGTCTATTATGAATAGGACTATGAGATAATGAAATTGTGTCAGAAGGCTAAAATTACATTAACATTATTTTTAGACAAGGAAATATAGTAATAAGTACTTGGATAAGTACTGCTAAAATAGGAAAGATCTAAAAACAATGCTGGTTTAACCATTTGTTGTAAAATTATGTTACGTTGCTAACATTGTAGCTCCAATAACATTTATAGCCCAAAACAGATTAATATAGTATTCTCACAAGACAGTCACACATACTCATGACCTTACATTACAGCCTCCCAGCAGAGAGACAAACAGAAATATAAAACTAACACTGTTTCCACCTGCATGTTTAAAACATTAAACTATTTCCATAAATGACACATTACCTCTTTAACGGCACATAAAAATCCTTGAAACAGCCCAGGTCACGCATTAAGAATGTTCAGCGAGTTTAATGTAGCATAAACATCATGCCTGTGTGTTAAAAACATACGAGTCACAAAGTCGTATTTCTAAAGCTACACTTGAAAATAGAAGTCTACCTTATTTGACTAAATGCCGGTTGCTCAGGACACTGACAGTTTTCAGGGTTACTTGGAAAAAAGTATACTTGTTTTGGTAGTGTTCAAGTGATGTAGCTTTGATGGTCCTGAAGTGACAGGAAGAAAAATACACACCACATTCAAAAAGTTTGTCCAGGTCTATCCAAACCATGCAGTTGGTCCAATAAAAGATACCAGCCACAAAAATCTTTGGCGCTCATATATTTGTTTTGTAATTCTTGAAATAGCTGCCTCAAATCCATTACTCTGGTAAGCATCAAAATGAGTTTAAAATATCTGAACTGTGGCATACAGTATTATCATCTTTCCAGCCTGTTTGTGGCACTTAAGGATAACCTTTTTATAATAACTGAAGTATAATACTGTGCAAAGTATTACAAATGCACATTATCATATGTATAAATGCAATCATTAAGTTTGCAGTAAGTCTGCGTAATGTCCTTTTTTCTAGTACTTCTTCTAAGCTGAAACTTTCCTTTTTAATAAATTTCAGTTACCCCAATAGGAAAAAAAATATACACTTCTGCTTTTAGAAGCGGCATATTACTTTTTTACATAAAAATGATTTAAAGAACAGAACTCTCTGAACTTCAAATGAGACTAGTATTTAATAAGGATGGGTAATATCCTTATAAAAAAATACTGAAAGCCAGATACTTTGCCCGAATGAAAACCTGTGCACACAACTGCTATAGAGTGTAACATCTACATTTCTCCTTTCCTCTCTTCTCCTCCATCTTCCTTTTTTGTCAAGAAAATTGTATATTCATGCCTTTATTAACACAATACTAGAATTGCAAGTTTAAATAAATCAAAGAAAAGAAATCAAGACCATGTCTAAATTAAACATTATGTAATTTGGGTCACTTAAGAGCTAGTTAGACAATAAAAAATTTTAAGTTTTATATGCCTGGTCATGCTGCATTTAGATACACAGCCTCAAAGTTGAAAAAGGCTATGTACATACCTGGAGTATTTATCCAAACTATGTAAAAAAAAAGCCAAAACTATAAGTACTCCGCACTTTCTTTGTTTGCTATTAGTAGCTGCAAAATGGCCCCTTCCCTTCATCTTCAAGGCTTCTAAGAGCCCTGGAATTGACTAGTAGGCCTTTTGAAAAGGCAAGAAGGTTTGAGTTTTGAGGCTGCTGCAGTGCACGCTTAATGAGCATTATTTATAGTGCTGTGCTATTGGTAGCCCCCAAACTGACTTCTCATTTCAAGGCTGCTAATAATTAGTTTGGGGCCTACTATTAGAAACCTTGAAAATATGGGGAGATAATAGCCATGAAATTGAGTAGCTCTCATCATTTTTAAGGCTTCAAACAGCTGCTTCACTTTCCCTATTTCCATGCAGTTAACCAGAATACAGTTATGTTACAAAATAGATGGCAAGGTTGAAAGATGCTATGCACTTAATTGATTTATGCATTTAACTGACATGCAGAGAGATAACATCTATTGTAATGGAAACACTGGGCGATAAATCTGAACTGGAGCTGCCTTCTGCATTTAAGTGTATTATACACTTATCCCGTATCTGTATGAGCGAAGTACATTGCGAGCCAATTAAATTGAGCCAAAAATGGGCAAAAAACTAAAATGAATAGTGAAGAAGCTCTTAAAACACTGTGTAGCTCATTTTAATTCAGACCTGGAAGTGGTGTCATTTTCCAAAAAAGAAAAAGGTTATACAAGAAAGCCCCAGTGTTCACTTTCCAGTGTGTTTCCATCCAAATCCTCCAACTCGCTGCACTATTAGGATTCAGGGAAGCCTGCCTCTTAATGCCACCCCTCTCAAGTTTGCCACTTTTCCTCATCATCAGGCTTTCCTGTATTGCAAGAGGGTGAGACTGATGTTGTAGCCACGGTGGTCCAGAAACGATGCGAGGCGAGGGTTTCTGAGGGCAAGCTCTTTGCTTGGACTAACGATGTAACTTGGATAAAGAAAGACAAGCTTTTGAATGTAAGACCCGGGGAAGAGTGTCTGCCACTCAAAAGCTTGTCTGACTTCATCATAACTGCACAGCAGGTCCACTACGAGTAGGCTGACCATATGTCCCGGTTTGGCCAAGACAGTCCCGGATCTCGTAGACTGTCGCAGCATCCCCGCCGGGTGGCGAGAATAGAAGAAAAAAGTCCTGGATCGCGGCCACCCGGCCGGCACATGCCCTGCGCGGCTCCTCCCGAGCAGCCTGGAGGCAGGGCGCTGGGCTGAGCACTGCTCCTCCTGCCTGGG